CACAGCAGGGCTTGCTCCAGCTTTAAAAATCGAATTGGCACGCTTTGAACCTCCTGACACCTGGGAGGCTTTGACTAAAACGGCTCTTCGACTGGAGAGGAGACAGAACATGCTGAGGAAGGAGGGCTATTTCCAGCCGCAGTTCCAGTCTACCCCCTCCCCTCAAGTCACCGCCGCTGCTGTCTGTTCCAGTCTGGATTCCGAGGAGCCCATGCAGCTGGGGAGTCAACGCCGGTTATCCAGGGAGGAGAAGCAGAGACGGCGTCAGCTCAATTTATGTTTGTATTGCGGAGCGGGGGGCCATTTCGCCCGCAGTTGTCCGGCCAAGGCTCCCAGGGAGCAGGGAAAAGGCCAGCCCTAATGTGCACTGGGGCAAGCACATTAGGGCCAGCGGTTCAGTGGCCCCGGTGTAAAGACCATGTGTTTTTACCCATTGAACTCTGTTCTAACCAAGGCAATAGGTTCTCCACTTGGGCCCTAGTGGACTCTGGGGCAACCGGGTCTTATATGGACACAAGCTTCGCTATGGACCATCATATTGTGTTACAAAGGAAGCGCCAGCCAGAGTGGGTGGAAGGAGCAGATGGTGCTCTAGTGGGCCACCGGTCTGTTACTATGGAGACTGGGCCCCTGAGGTGGGAGGCTCAAGGTATAGAGGGTCGGTTTTCCTGGGATGTGATTAACTTGCCTAGGTATACCATCATCCTAGGCATGGACTGGCTGTCCAAGATTAATCCCAGAATAGACTGGCAAGCCAAGACCATTACCTTAGCACCACCTGTATGTGGAACGTTGGCAGTAAGTCCAACGGATGTGGAAGGTGTTCCTGAATGCTATAAAGACTTTTATGATGTGTTTAGCAAGGTACAGGCTGACAATCTTCCACCCCATAGGCCTTATGACTGCCAGATAAAGTTGATGGAGGACGCCAAGTTGCCTGCGGGCAGGCTTTACGCTTTGTCTCTTCCAGAACGCCAGGCCTTGAAGGACTACATTGAGGAGAATCTGGCCAAAGGGTTCATCCGTCCGTCCAGTTCTCCCACGGCGGCTCCAGTGTTCTTCGTGTCCAAGAAGACGGGTGATTTACGTTTAGTTTGTGATTATCGTATTTTGAATAAGTTTACCATCCGGGACCGTTATCCGTTGCCTTTGATTCCTGAGTTATTGTCTCGTGTTCAGGGCGCATCTGTTTTTTCGAAGTTGGATTTAAGGGGCGCCTATAATTTGCTCCGGATTAAGGAAGGCTACGAGTGGAAGACCGCCTTCAACACTTATCTCGGGGCTTACGAATATTTAATCATGCCTTTCGGATTATGTAATTCGCCAGCTGTGTTTCAACGCTTAATGAACGATGTGTTTAGAGATTTATTAGATAAATTCATGGTTTGTTATCTCGATGACATCTTGATCTACTCAAAGGACCTTCGGCAGCATCGAGAACATGTGAGGACGGTGCTGCAGAGGCTTCGGAAACACGGTCTGTTCGCCAAGGCTTCTAAGTGTGTTTTTCATGTCCCGGAGGTGGAGTTTCTGGGACACATAGTCTCTGGGCGGGAGGTGAAAATGGACCCGCATAAGGTGGACGCTGTCCAGTCCTGGAAGGAACTCGCCTCAAAGAAAGATGTGCAACGTTTCCTAGGTTTTGCTAATTATTATCGAGACTTTATTCCCCATTATGCAGAAATCACCGTGCCGCTGACTCGCCTCCTGAAAAAGGACCACCCATTCGTATGGACTAAGGAGGCTCAGAGAGCATTCGAGACCATCAAATGCAGTTTCGCTGATGGGAGAGTCCTGTGTCAACCAGATGTGGACCGTCCTTTTGTGGTTGAAGCTGATGCCTCCAACTACGTGTTGGGAGCTGTCCTGTCCCAGTTAGACTCCAAGGGTATCCTTCGGCCTTGTGGCTTTTACTCTCGCCAATTGTCTCCCTGTGAACAGAACTATACAATTTGGGAGAAGGAGTTACTGGCGATTAAGGTTGCCTTCGAGGTTTGGAGGCACTGGCTCGAAGGTGCCAGGCACCAGGTGGTGGTGCGGTCTGATCACCGTAACCTAGAACATTTGCTAACCGCTCGCAAATTGAACCAGCGCCAAATTCGTTGGGCTATTTTTTTTAGTCGTTTTGATTTTCGTGTTGAGTTCATTGAGGGGAAAATGAACTTGAGGGCGGATGCTTTGTCTCGGAAATCTGAATATAAGACTGATGTGGCACCCGTCCTGCAGACTGTGTTACCTACAGCGGCTCTCAATTTAATGGAGGGTGCGGGTGATCTTTGTGACCAGGTCAAAGCAGCGCAAGCTGAGGACATTTGGACTCAAGAACAGCTCACCTTGTTAGCAAATGGCCAGAAGTCTGTACTCCCTAATCTTCGCAATGAGGGTGGGATTTTGTTGCGCAGAGAGCAGCTCTACGTTCCTGCAGGTAGTTTACGCCTTGAGATTCTTAGATCCCACCATGATGAACCGGCTGCAGGTCATTTTGGGAGGTTTAAGACCGTGCAACTAATCACTAGAAATTTTTGGTGGCCAAAAATGAGGCAGGACATTTTACAGTACTGTGACAGTTGTGCCGTCTGCCAGCAATGTAAACATGCTCCTGGAAGGCCTAGTGGCCTGTTATCCCCTTTGCCGGTGCCTGAGAGACCTTGGCAGGTCATTTCTATGGACTTCATTACTGATCTCCCCAGGGCACGGGGATACGCCTGTATTTGGGTAGTAGTGGACTTGTTTTCTAAAATGGCTCATTTTGTTCCGTGTGCGAAAGTTCGCACAGCACCTGGGTTGGCCCAGCTCTTTATGAAGCATGTGTTTAAGTTACATGGGGCTCCGGACACTATAATTTCAGATCGCGCCCCTCAGTTCGTGTCGCGATTCTGGAAGCAGTTCCAGGCCCAGATGGGCACGAAGCTCAATATCTCTTCTGCTTTTCATCCGCAGACTGATGGCCAGACGGAACGTGTGAATGGCCTTTTGGAACAGTATTTGCGTTGTTTTTGTTTACAGCAAGCTGGGGATTGGGTGCAGTGGCTTCCTGTGGCTGAATTCGCCTACAACAATGCTACCCATGCCGTCAGTCGCCATTCCCCTTTTGAGTTGGTTTATGGTATGCAGCCTAGGTGGGGGTCGGCTCCGGTGCATGACATTGTTTCCACGGACCCTGTGTACCGTTCTAACGAATTTCTTGCTTTGCATGATGTTGCCCGGCGTATTCTTGTGGAAGCTAAGGATGCTCAGAAAGCACAAGCTGATAAACATCGGCAGGCGGGTGCTGAGCTCCAGGAGGGGGATTTGGTTTGGCTCTCTTCCAAGCATCTCAAGCCGTCTGGGGGCAAGTTTGCGCCTCGTTATGTGGGACCCTACCCTATTGTCAAGCAGATTTTGCCTGTGGCTTTCCGTTTGCGTTTACCTCCTTCTTTGAAAGTGCATCCTGTGTTCCATCGCTCTATGCTCAA